CAAGGCCTGGGGGGTGGGGGGTGGGCAGGAGCTGAGTGGAGGGGAGCAAAGGAGAGGAAAATGAGAGACATCTATAATACAGTTAACAATAAAAAAATTGCAGTATACCAGAAATTTTTTAATTATTCTATTTTAGAGAAGATAAAGCTAAGCAATAAATTATCTAGGTTACATGAAATGAATAATGTTGATTTCTCCATCTCCACTAATTGGAGTGGAAGTGAAAATGAGAATCAAAGTGTTGAATTTAGAAAACCTGGGACAAAAATGAAGTTTAAAGATACTGAATTACAGCCTGGGAGAGAGATGAATTACAGTGGGAGAGACAACAGCTGACTGTGTGAGTAAATGTGAGGCTTACAAGGGAGAAGAAAAGATGGTCTATGACTGAATCCTGAGGAAATCCCACATTTATAGGACAATAGAGAAAAGAGAACAAAGACATCCTTTCCCCCTCTGATTTGAATTTTCCCTTGAAGTCAGTCTGCGCTGTTGTGCAGAGGAGGAGAGAAGGACAAAAAGGTTTATTGAAAGAGAATAAAATCCAATATGACTTCATTTTTCACTCCTCAGCTTCCAACTGGTAGGACAATTTGAAATCATTAATTTGGCCAGATGGTTAATGTTGTTTAACAGTACAATTAACTAATAAATAATTGTAAAGCACTCTGTAAATATAAAGTACTACATAAATGTTTCATAATAACATTAAATCAGGACACTTATTTCAAGTTACATTTTATATGTTTTATTGGTGTATCAAGAAAAATGCCAATAACATGATTGAATGCTATTATCATAGAATGTATTTGAAAACTACCATGAAGGGATTGTGGGAAAACAAAAATAGCTGTGACCATGCTAGGCTGAACAGAATTAATGTGAAATGAAGGAAAGAAAAGAGAGAACGACATGATCATAGAAGTGCATAATAATTAGCAATTTCATTTTACCTACATAATTTATAAGAAAGAAAATTTATCACATGAAACGATGTGAAGGGCACAGAGCAGAAGGAAAATCAAGGCATGAGCTCAGGGGAAGCCAGTTGATACAAGTAACTTGAGTCTCATAATTACCAACCTTTCATGAATTCAGAGCTTACCTAGTCTTTACAATAATATATTAGACATATTTTGTTAACATCCCCTATCTAAATATAAGAAAACTGGGGTACAGAGAGGTTAAGAAACTTGCCCAATATCACACAGTTAGTTCAAGGCCATCAGGATTCTGCAAACAGTTTTACTTCCCTGATAAAGAGGACAGGTGCAGCCTGTGTGCCCCTTCTTCCATTTTCCTACCTCAAAACAAGGACTTGATGCTGAAGTCCCAATAACCATCTTGGAACCATGAGATTCACAGAGATGTCAGCCTTGCTATGTAACCCATACTGGCACCTTTGGATTTCTTGTTATATGAGAAAAATAACTCCCTATTGGTTTAATCCACCAGAATCGAGACTTCTGCTACTGGTAACTTTAACCATTATGCCAAATAATCATGACAGTAAGTTATCGCTCATTGAGTATTTGCTGTGAGCCATGCACTATTTTTATATATATTTTATTGATGTTTTATAGAGGAAGAGAGAAGGATAGAGAGTTAGAAACATCAATGAGAGAGCAACATCAATCAGCTGCCTCCTGCACACCCCCTACTGGGGATGTGCCTGCAACTAAGGTACATGGCCCTTGACCAGAATTGAACCTGGGACCTGTCAGTCCACAGACTGATGCTGCAAGCAATGCACTATTTTATGTTTTATGTGTACACAGTCGTTTCATCCCAATAACAAGTTTCATCCCAATAACAGTGAAGCAGACACTGTTACTATTCACATTTTATTAGCAAGGAAACCGAGGTGCAGTATCTGGCTTTCCCACAGCCATACCTTTTAAAAGGAATTCAGATCCAGCACCTGGCTTCTAAATCTCTGCCCATTAGCAAACCGTATTCTAAGCAGTGAAATACTAGAACCATTTCAATTAAAATCACAAACCATTTCAGATAAAATCACAAAATGACTCAATATTGTGTTGGAGATTCTAGAGCACATGCTTCTCAGCAGGGATGTTATTAACACTTGGGAAGACAACTCTTTATTGTTTGGCCATTGTTGCATATTAGAGATATTTACCATTTCTGTCTTGGGTCCCAGAAACACTCTCAAGATGGTGTTAATCCGGAATACTCTCTGTATTCCCCCTTAAGGAGGCAGTGCCACCCTCGGTTAAGAACAGCCATTCTGCCAAGTGCTGTAGAGGATGTGGAGAAAAATGTACCCTCGTGCACTGCTGGTGGAAATAGTGCAGCCATTGTGGAGAACAGTATGGAGTTTCCTCAAAAACTAAAAATGGAACTCTCATTTGACCCAGTTTCCCACTTCTAGGAATATATACCAAGAAACTAGAAATACCAATCAGAAAGGATATATGCACCCCTATGTTCATAGAAGCACAGTTTACAATAGCTACGTAAGATTTGGAAACAGCCTAAGTGCCCATCAGCAGATGAGTGGATTAAAAAACTGTGGTACATCTAACTCTAGTTCTGTTAGAGTAGCTCAGCCAAGGTTTTAGGGTCCTCTGTTGTGTTAGGATAGGAAGAGAGACACCCTAATCAAGGGTTCCACGCTCCCACATCTACCCATGCAGGAGCCATGCAGTTGGAACACGTACAGAGATATTTAAAATAAAGGTACAGAGTTGGAGAGGTCTTGTTAGATTTTTCTGCTCATCATTAAGACACAACATATTCACTTCACCAGTAGGAGTAGGGGTCAGGGTACAGTTCTTTTCCAACAGTAGGCACGTGGGGAATTTAGTAATAGTGAAAGAGAACAGGTTATCAAAGTCAGGAAAAAACAAAAATATACTTACTTCATAAAGCTGATTTAGGCAGAACTTGAATATGCTGATTCTGACATTTTCTGGTTTCTGTAGGGACATGCTTCCACTCTAGATTTTAAAAATATCGAAGAAACTAGGGATAGAAATTTTAAATAGGTTGCCCAGTCAATTGTGCTTAACAATTGATAGATTATTTCCTCTTCCAATAGTTTTTTATATAATTGTTCTTTAACTGTGTTGACAAAATCTAAAACTACAATGGAATTAGAGGTAATTTTTCTTAAGAACTTAGAGATGTGAAAAATAACAATGCTTGTGATAAACATACATTTCAAACCCCGAATGCTTCTAATCATTAAAAATAAAATATTAGGGTAAATTTAGTTCTAATCCTTAGTTTCTCCTATCTTTATTATAATTTTTTATTGTCTTATGAAATGATTTTTTCTGAATAAGCACAAAGGATATGTAAGAAATTTGTGGTAGGTAAGTAACTTTGTCTAACATCATTAATCACTAACAGCTCAATTATACAGTGAAGTGCCTGTAATTGTCATCAAGCTTTGATTCTATTATACATTCATTTATTTTACATTAATTATACAGATTTTTTTAATGAAGCAGAAAAACTGTGTTTTCAGTTTTCACACGTAGAGACAATGATCAAAATATTTATGTGCATATTACATATTTTATTGACATTCAGAAAATAATTCATTTACTCAGTACAATATTAGTACCTTTACATGAGAGAAAAAAGCAAATCCAATTTACCACATTTAGATTTCCTTAGAGTATATGAATTTTAGAAAGTTCTTTCCAGGAAATGCAATATTTAAACTATTATTAACAGTAATTAATGAAATCTGTAAAATGGTTTTAAAGCCATGGTTAATGTGGCATTTACAAGTCCAGACTCGGGGTTGACTCCCTTATTTCAAATCAAAGATACCTGGGACATGACATTAACATTCTGTGCTTCAGTTTACTCCTCTGTAGAAAAGAGATTAACATTTTGTAGTAAGGATTTAAGGATTGATAGTCAAGTGTGTAACACAATGCTTAAAACAAAGTTAGTGCTATGTAAGTATTTATATTATTTATTTTCCTTCTTGAAAGGAGTTCAATTTAACATGCAAATTAATGATGCCCAGGTTCATCAATATGAAGTGGTTGGGGACAATTCTTTAAAATTCCATGAAAGCAGTTATTTGGTAATCTTATGGATTAAATATTAAATCCCAAAATACAGATTTGGGGAGTACTCCCCCTGTAACATGGCTTTGAACAGTGTAGTGGTGAAAGTCTCTACCCTGTAAGTTGTTAAAACCAATATGATCAATAACTTTCCTCTCATTACATGGGAACATATGGAGAAAAGAAGGCGGCCAGAAATAGCAGTTTTTAGATTCAGCCAAGGTTGGTGCCTAGGAGATGAGGAGAATCCCAGACAGAGGATAAAGAAGAAATGTAAATGAAACTCAGAAAAATCTGCCCTTTCTCTCCACTCCTTCCTTTTTTCTTCTCCCTTATATATCCCTACTCCCGGGGTAGGCCAAGGCATATTGAACCTAGCTTTTCAACAAGGAAACCTTTAACAAATAATCTGTGGAACTTTGCTAACAATTTGTTTCTTTTGTTGGATGGTTTATCTTGATTACTTCAAATTTGATCTTATTTCTAGGAATAGACTGACCTCCCTTTAAGGCATATTCAGTTTAGTTTCATATACTTCTTGCTACTAAAGTCTTCCTGATACACCTCTGCAACTTAAATCCATTGATAGGTTGATCAGTGTGGGAAAAATATTTGCTTCTTAATGTTTAATTCTAGATTTTATTTATAGGCATGTATATCCTTGTAAGTCATATACATTCTAGAAATACAGAAACCTCGTTTAAAACAATGCTTTAAAACTATACCCAGGAGTAGAGCTGGTTTGACTATTTTCCTCTCCCATTCTCCTGGCCCACTCTGCTAATCAGTGCCAAAGAATTGTGTTGCCCAAGAGGCAGTCGGTAAAAGAATAAACAAGGAGAAACAGGCGCCTCAATAAACCAGTGAATGAACATATTTAAGGCTTGAATAATTGAGTGTTGATTGTAGTTTGGACATTACAAAAATACTAAAATGTGATTCTTCTTTTAGGTGGGAGATGAGAAAGGATGAAAAACTAGAAGAGGAAGAAAAAGCAATGTTGGAATATTTAAAACGAATTTGCAACATCCAAAACTCTTCTGCCTCAGATACCAAGGAGGAAGAGTAATCTGCAGAAAACAGCAACAGCTTTATTTTAGGAAATAATCACATATAATGGAGTATGATTTTTACTACAGTCAGGATGAACCTCAGATGTGCTGTGAAGCATGAAACCAATGACTTAGTAATCTCAGAACTGAAAAGGAATATAGCACATAAAGAATAAATTGCTCCATATTTTTTATTTTAAAAATAATTTCAAATGTTTTTTCTTTCCTCAATCTTTCTCTTTAGACAATAATAACTGCTGCCATCTCGTGTTGCCTTTGAATTATTTTTCTTCTTGCAGTCTTGAAGTATCTATGACAACAGACAAAATGTCTGAAAATCCTTCCCCTAAAGATTTTTAAATACAACATTTGGATGTTAAGTTGAATGGAGTTACATGGAGTAATGTGAAAATTTCAATCTAATTTTGTAGTTGTATCCCAAGTCCAGGTCTTACCAGACTGCTTTCCCATAGTCTCTTCCTCATCTAGTTTATCTTAATCATAGCCACAAAAAGCACTCTCCTGAAGTATAACTTTACTCACATCTCTGCATATAGTGGCTTTTTAAACATCAGTTTCAATTACATGCTTTCAGGTCATATACCCAATGACTCCATGTTCAAGCAATTGCCAACCATCTTCTTGGCTCAAGCCAAAAGCTTGCCATTTTTCCCAACCAGAAACCATCTTTCTCATAAAACTGTGATCAACACTATCTCCAGCCATCTTTAGTCTATAGTTCCTTATCTATGTTTCTGTTACTTCTTTTATTTTATTCCAATTACATTACTCACACTAAGGAAACAGAATGTGTTCTAGCACCCTATATGCCAAGTAAGGTTATATGTACCATAACCTTCCTATCAGTGCCTGATATTGGATTCTAAAAAATTTGAAGGCCTTACAGTATAACGTGAAATCTCCTTTTAAACAGCAGTCTTCCCAAATACCTACTTACAAAGTCATTCATCTAGTTGACAGTTAATAAACACAGCTGTTTGAATGACTGCTATTGAAAGAAGACAATGAAGACATTTAGATCAGTGAGCAATCTACAGGTCATCTGGGAGAAGCTTTATATCACAAACTATTTTAGACCACATGATATTGAATATCATGTTTTCTGATATTCTTGGATTGTCCATGTTCCCATATTCTGAAGTTTTACAAAATATATGTAGGCATTTCTCTATGACTCCTTTTTCAAAGAAGTATAGCAAGAGAAGAATTGGATGAGTCGGAAGGAGAGGAAAATAAAAAAAGAGCTTACAGTTGAATTGTCTTCTATACTTGCTCAGAGAAATTAATATAGTGATAAGTTTAATAAAATTTATAACTGGAAATGTTAAATGACAAGTTACTAATTTATCAGATCATATTGACTCCATACTTGATATGTTTCTTAAAGTATAGGAAGTGGTGTTTCAAAAGTTTCGTTTCTTACAATTATTTTACATTTGTATGTGTTAACAACAGAAATGAATACCGTATTTTCCAGCGTATAAGACGACCCCCTAATTTTACAGTTAAAACAAAGGTTTAGGCCTATATTCGCTGTATAAGACTACCTCCCACTTCAAAGAAAAGACTTACTTTGCCGTCAAGATCTGCAGGTAATTTTTGTGCAATTTTGGTCTTTTGCCCCCGTTTTTCGGTTGACTTTTTTTTGTTTTAAAAGTCGTTTTATATGCCAGAAAATACAATACTTCATAATTCACCATATGCTTACCAAAAACATATTATCTCCCTATAAAATATTATCTTCTTAACTATTCTCCTTAACTGTATTTTTATAATTATAAAGAGGCATCTACTTCATTATTAGTTTAGCAATAACTATGTGGAAACAGTAGGAATTAATTTTTAATAAAATGTAGATGGAAATGTAAGTTTCAAATATTTTACATTTAACACTGTTATAGAACTACCAAACACGAAATAGGAAAAACTATTTTGTCTACCAAAACAAGCTTACTCAAAATGTCCTATTAATTCCAATTCATAAAATTCTGAGTCATAGAGAACTTCAGATCATTTGTAATTATTACACCTTACTACAAAAATTTTTTAAGATCTTTTATGCTTTTTGTTATAATTGAAATATTTCACAATAAAAATATTAAAAGCTGTATTCGGCCTTAAAAAAAAATACTGTCATATGTTACATGAGTGAATTTTGAAGACATTATCTAAATGAAATAAAATGGTCACAAAAGAAGTCAAATAGTATGTGATTCTACTTATATGACATACCTAATATAATCAAATTTATAAAACAAAGTAAAATGGTGGTTACTTGGGGCTAGGGTGATGGAAAAAGAGTAGTGTAATAGATATAGGTAGACTTTCTCATTTTTACAAGATGAAAAAGTTCTGGAGATCTGTTTCACAACAATGTCAATAAACAACACTACTGAACTATACATTTAAGACTAAGATTTTTTAAAATGTATATATTATTGATTTTTTACAGAGAGGAAGAGAGCGGGATAGAGAGTTAGAAACATCGATGAGAGAGAAACATCTATAGCTACCTCTTGCACACCCTCTACTGGGGATGTGCCTGCAACCAGGGTACATGCCCTTGACCGGAATGGAACCTGGGACCTTTCAGTCCACAGGCTGATGCTCTAATCAATGAACCAAACTGGTTTCTGTTAAGAATAAGATTTGATGTTATCTTTTTACCCAACTAAATAAGAAACACTGCTGTATGTGGAATTTCCACATATAAACATTCCTAATATGATGCCTGAAAGCTCTTAGGTTTTGATAGGAACTATGAGAGCAGCATATTCTACATAATGATTAAAAAACTATCTGCCTTGCCTTTGAGATATATTTTCAACAGCACTACCATTAAAGCAGTACACTCTTATTTCTCCAGAATTTAAAGAATCCAAAACATTGTAAAACCTTTTCGACCTCAAAATATTGTAATAATTACATACATGAGTAAAAATCTTTGCTAGTTATTTATTGTTGCATACATAACAATATTACCACATTTGGCAGCTTAAAACAATATACATTATCTCATAGTCTCTGTGTGTCAAGTGTCTAGACATCATTAAGCTTGGATCTCTGCTTGGGATCTCACAAGATTGCAATGAAAATGTCAGCTAGGTCGACATTTGGCTCAGTGGTAGAGCATCGGTCTGCGGACTGAAAGGTCTCAGGTCCGATTCCGGTCAAGGCATGTATGTTGGCTGTGGGCACATCCCCGGGTAGGGGATGTGCAGGAGGCAGCTGGTCAATGTTTCTCTCTCATCGATGTTTCTGGCTCTCTATCTCCCTCCCTTCCTCTCTGTAAAAAATCAATAAAATATATTAAAAAAAAAAAAGAAAGAAAATGTCAGCTAGTAGTGGTCTCATCTAAGGCTCAAATGGAGAAGGAGCCCCTTTATGGTATTGGTATTAAGATTAGGTTGAAGGAATTGCAAAACTACAGGCAAGTGTTGTTGAGCAATAGTGCTGAATACTAGGACCAATCCATACTTCCATGTACCCTATAATAGGATTCCCAGTAATTAGGAGAAAACCCACCTCAAAGGAGTCCAACACAGGAACAGAGCAGCCTCTTGCACCACCTCCATGAAGATACTTGAGTTTCCCCTATACTAAGGTGATCAGATTTTAACATTGGTAAAGCGGGACACCATTGACCTTGGGGTGGGGGGGTGTTCTTGATTAAAATTTTGGTCTATATGGAACAACAAAAATTTTCATAGAATGCAAAAATAGTATTGTAATATATTTTTTTAAATTTCAAAATAATACAATTTACAAATATAATAAATAAATAAATAATTATGTATAGTCGTAAGTGTCACTTTCAAGGCCAGCGCTAGACTATTTGCCGCCACTATAAAATATAAATAATATGAGTACTGTACTGTCTTCTAAATTCAAGAAAATTTATGTATTTATGAAATAAATTACTTACCTAAATTATCTGAATAGCTGATTTGTAATGACATCACTTGTTTAACTAGCTTACTAGCACTCAGTACGATGTGTATCGTCTGAGAGACAGTTACAAAATGTTTTCGTCATTGCCAATTCCAAAAAATGCCATTGTTTATTAAGCTCAAACAATGGTGGTCGAATTCTAACAACTAATCAAAAATGCAAACTTTAATAAGCATTTCTCGATAATCAGTTCTCAACAATTATTTGTTATTATTAAAGTTTAACGTTATAAAATTAACAAAAATAATATAAAACTCATATCTTGGCTAAATAGCCACATGGCCACCGAAAAACTGTATATTCCCTTCCCGTTCCCCCTCTGTTCCCTAGCTTGTCGTGCATTCTTTCCAAAAATTAGGACTTTTTTAAAACGCCGCAGGATGCGGAACAAATAGTTAAAAATCGGGACTGTCCTGCCAAAAGTGGGATGTCTGGTCACCTTACCCTATACACAATGCTCTCTTGAGAAGAAAATGTTAAAAATGGGGCCAATTGTCTGACAAGATGTATTCCTAATGGAAATTTTAGTTATTGCAATGAGTAAACATTTAGCAGGAAACTATTTTATACTGTAAAAGAAAGTTGGTCTTAACTGGTAAAATTAAGGATTAAAACAACAATCTACCTTAGCAGAAATTAGAGCTATGGAACAGGAGATCAGTTATAGAAAATAAAATTATTGCATATCTAAATAGCACTGTGCTGTACATTGTATTTGGATCTAACCTGGTAAACACTGGCATGAGTAAGAGGTACACAGACTCAAGACACTTCACTTTATGCAATAAAATCTACAAGCTGAATTGGTTTCCTTGAAGCCAAATAAAAAAAGAAGAAGACCTAAGAAGCTTTTTCCTTTGTGCAGGTATCTGGATTGGTAAGCTTAACAACAGGGATGGAGTGGATGGCTCACTTCAGTTGAATTGCTACCTGGAGACCACAAAGGGCCTTGAACTGCAGAGGGAAGAGGCCAAATCTGCTTTGATAGTTGCCCAGTGGAGATCCTATGATATCTGCAGAGGATACTGATAATAACTTTCAAACT